GTCAACGAATACTAAAAATATTCGTTTGACACTGTCTGGGACGTCGTTGAAGAGAAGGGCTCTAAGCTTGAACAAGCTTTTGGAGAAGCAAACCTTGAACTTGATGAATCAAACTTTCTTCCAATGTAGCTAATTAAATAAGACCTGACTGAATGGTATATTGTTTAACTGGAAGCAGTCAAAACATTCTCTTCTCAATAAAAAATTGAACAGTAGAAAAAGCGTAGAGTTGGAAAGCTATTTTCTGAAAACTTTCGTCTCTGCAGATACATGTAGTATTCAAAAATATAATGAAAATTAATTAGCTACAGTTACTATGGATGAGCTGTTGATAGTAAATTTAACCATTTTACAACAAAGGCAGTGCTAGAATTGCAAATACCTCCTGCTGCTAATAGAGTTTGCTTTTCAGTAGTTTTATGGCTAACTGTGAAATTGAGAGTGGTGCGGCGAGAAGACGATTGTCGTGGTCACGTTCGTTTTTAACATGGGATAAGCCATCGATGGTACTGATGTGCAGCGTTGGGATGACCTTTGATCTTGACTATTGGGGTGTGATTTGTTCACCCACCCATGCATGCGCTCAGCCACACTTTGTGCAAGCTACAATTCGGTTCTGCCTAGGTAGATGCCAAGGTACCCACAGCCGAATTGATAAAATTTATAGGATTTGGCACATTTCGAAAATTACTGCTTGAACAGAAAAGTTGGTATTCTGTCTTAAGTGTGAACGAAAACTGATCACACTCTCACCGAAATTTCCCGTCGTGACATTCTCAGAAAAATACGAGTAGCAAACAAGCTCGTGTTGGATAAGTTCATCTTCTGGCTAATAAAGTTATATATATGAAGTGAACAGATGCGCAACAACTAATGTCAGAATGCAGGTGTGTTGATTAGATGGCATGGAGATGGTGTGGAGTGGTTGTGAAAGACGTAAAAACAAAAGTTTTTAATCTGTGGTTTAAAATAGGGAATCGGGAAACGAAGAAAGGAAGGGAGAGGAAGAAGCACGAAACATGATGGGCAAAGTCAGATGTTTAGATAAAAGGCTCACGAGAAGGGTCATAGATAAATTGACATTTTGTGTCGGGTTTGGGCCAGGGTGTCTATGGCTTTAACAAAGTGTTTTGTGAACATGAAGTTGGGCTCAATAACTTATTCTCTTCCATCTCAACTGTCACCATATGGGGCTATCGAAGGGATTTGGAGTGGTTTGGGGGTACTTCGTAGATGGTTTTGAACGCATCTTTAGTTATCCGATGTCCAGTATCCACGAGGTGCGCCGTGATTGCACTCGAAATGGTCTTTGTGGTTCCCGTGTTTAACCAAGCCGGTATCTGTTCCTTGATTCTTTGAGAATACAGCCTGATCTTCCTGCTATGTAATTTTCTGAACACAAACAAACAAAAGAATATGCCAAAAAGAGCGAAAGTGAGGATCAGCAATTCATCTTTCAGATTCAAGGGCAACAAGGATCGGCTGGCGAATTGGGGACGTAAACGGACCGCAAGAAATGTTCCAGCGATTGACTTATCTAGTTGTCTTGGTAATGAAGCCCATTTATAGTCACCTTTGAACGGGAGACGTATACAGATTTTCCTTTAGTTAACTTTAGTTACCCTTGGTCTTCTGGCTCTTTCACGCAGATTTTTTGGAACTAATCGTTCAGGATAGCAAGTGTCCAGTAGTGTCTGCTGGTTCAATTCTGACTCCAGGTTTTCCGCTGAACATTTATTTCTAATACGAGCATCTAGGAATCGGACATGGTTTCGCTTACGCCTCAAAGGTACAAAACTGGCAAAATGAGTGTCTTAACCTGTCCATGTTGATTTCCTCTAGACTGCTCTACTAATTGTTCCGTCCAAGCGCACGATAAGATGAACATCTAGAAAATGGAATGCTTTGGCCGTTCCCATTTCCGACGTAAAAGTGAATGCGTCGTGAGTTCGGTAAAACATGCGGGTCAGTGTTTGCAATTAATGGGAACTTCCGTCATCGTAATGGCAATAGAATGGTAAGCCCTCTATCGCATCTTGGAATTCCTGGTGTTCTTAATTTGCGACAAACGTCAGCCAAACGTGGGCCTGGAAGGTATTCCACTGCAACTCCGTTCGTTTGCCTGTAATATTCCTCTTTGAAACTAAACTGAATGTTATTGGTAGAGCGTGGCAGTAAGTCCTTCGAGTTAGCCAGGTTAACACTGATGTTTATCTCGTTGTTCATGATGTAGTTACATGATTAGTTAACTTTTTCTCAGAGGAGCATTGGTGAACAACGATGTTACATTTAATGATGCCATAGGTAAACTATTTGTGCATGGTTTGCGTATAATTTCTACAAATTGGAATGTATTTCTCTGACTGAAGTGAAAAATCTGTCTGCAAACAGGTTTCAAAACATTCAACCACTCCCCACCACTTGCGTACCGTCCATTCAACGCATATTCAATATGACATTATTTGATTACAGTTTGTTTAAAGTTCATTTGATGAAGAAAACGTTTGTGCTGTTCTATAAAATTACTCACTGAAGCACCCTTGAACGGCAGATATAGAACAAACTAACATCTTTGGTCAATCTGCATTCAGATATTCAATGCTACGCGTTCTACCGGACCATTTCAAATAGCCGTTGTCCTGTGGAGTTTCATTGAGTTATCAGGGGTGAAAGACTCCCTATTATGGCCATCAAGTGCCCTCACTGATCCTCGTTAGTGACGAAGCCGGTAAAGTGCAGCTATTAATTTATCTAACTGTGCTTTTACGAACAAATTGAAAACGGATTCTGTCGGTCCTCCGTTGCATTTTACATCTAGAAAGAACAAGGGGTCATTTTCTTCCCCTTTAATAATTAGCATTATACTGGGTTGAGCGCTATTAGGTTTTGGAATAATTAGAAGCCAGGCGAAGCACATGGTACGACGATTCAGAATTTGCAACTATTTACTGAATTTTTAAACGCTCGGTTTCATTTATCTATAACTTAAAGACCCACAAAAACAATCTGTGGGGAGATGACATTCCGTTTACTGTCCTCAATCTCTACCTTAAAACATCAGTCACTAATTGTAATTCCCAACTGCCATAACAGTGGTCCGGCGCAGCAAATTCAGTTTCTACTTTATCTTTGGCTAAAATAGTATGCTTTTTGGAAGGCACGCATTTTCACCTGCATCAGGTACACAGAAGTGAATTACTGTTTTCAGCATCCTAAAATGTTTGCCATACATCTTCACAAGGGGCATTTATTATTCATTTTAACAAGGTAACAGGTTTACGGATATCGATTCGCATTTGGATTCCCTTTTTGTTTATAATCTTTTCTAGTTACCAGTATCACTAAGAGCATTCACCAGGAATAATGCTATGCGTACTGAGCATACCGCGCGCAACACATACTGGCTTTACATCTTATTATACCAGATTTTAATTTGGCTTAGTGCTTATTTAACTCTCGGTCTCACGCGGTCAAAATTCTCCCTTTTGTTGAGACGCAAGACAAAGGTGATCAATGTTGCCCGCAAATATATATTGCAGCTCGTTGCTCCGTGCGATGCTTTTGTTACACACCTGGGTGTGATGAACAGCAGACGGGGCGAACCTCATAGTCACGAGGACCTGTTGTTTAGTGATGGAAACCGGCAATGTGAGTCACCGGGACCTGCAGTGGAAAACCACATAAGGCCCCGGTACGTTCGGTATGGTATTAAATCAAACGACAGGGAAGCTGCCTACCACTGAGTTGGGTGGCGGTGGCGGGCTCGAATCTCGGATCAGAGGGTCCAAAACACGCCGGTGAAGGCGACTAAACCACTGCACCACCAATAACTAGGCACCAGGACGTGTATAAGCACTTGTTGCCGTGCCTGTATAACCACCGATCCGTAATTCTGGTAAAACAGCTGCAAATTATTCTAAAGTTACGCCAAAATTGTAGCATAAGGAACCCTCTATATTGCACCGCCTCTCATTCATAGTGGTTGCGATTTGCGATAAGTCCTTTAGGTGATTTAAACATACATAAAAGGATCACTTTACTCAGATTTGATTTATTTTGGTTAGAGACAAAATAAAAGGTATTTAATGAGGTTATACTCTTCCGGTGCTGCTTTTTGCTCTTTAGAACTAAATCTAAAGGCTTATCAAACCCTGGTAAAGTAATCTTATTATTTGCTTACTGGATTACATGCACGGGGAACTCGAAGCACAAGTGTACCGCGGTTGACTGTTTGAACAGTGCGCGTTTTGCAGCAGATCGTACCATACATACGGATGAATTTCAACAAGGCTCTATCTTCTGTTTGTCAGACAGGGCTTGTGAATTGGACTGTGGATACAATCCACAGATTAACTATATTTTTATTTCTTTTAATCTATGCAAACGAAATGTTTAGAAAAAACTGGCCCTACAAATTGTACTGGTTTCTATCAATCCAATTAAATAGGCAAGAGATAATGGATGGAGAGCTATAATGTGTACTTTCTCAGAGGTTTGCGGGTTATAATATGGACGTGTAATTCTGGAGCCGGTGAAACCGATTTTTCCTATAAAAATATCTGGATGAATAAAATCCGCAGTCACTTGGTAGATGCAATCAATATTGGTTCAGTTATTTTTACGAATAATTGGTATATTGAGAGTGTAGCACCATTTGTATAAAGTGTGATGTTTGTAATCGGTCGAGTCAAAGGGAAAACAGTTGTTCACTGACCTCTTCATTAATATACAATGATTGTCAAATATTAGACACCAAAAGACCAGTTATACAAAAATTCTGAGGGAAACGGAGTGATCTACTTTCCATAATTGATAATTGATAGTTCGATTGTACCATGATCGAATATCAAATGTACTGACAAAACGTGTCCTTCGAAGTATATTACCAAAAGGTTCTCAAGTGAACCCAGATTCTCAATCGCATAAAATATTCGTGCGTTGTCTATTTCTCACGAACTTTGAATGCACTCTCTGTCGTACCGATACGAAATCCATTACAGTTCCGATCACTCATGGATGTCATTCGTATAATGCTGGATACGATTGACAGACAAAGGACATACGAACTCATGTTGGAGGAGCGAAAGTCACAAATTGGAAGCTGCACGAATATCAGGTAAGTATTTATCAAGCTCTTGACGGACAGCTCTATTGGCCTTGGGGGTCAGAAGATATCTCAGTTAAAAAATATTCGTGATTTTATTCTTTAGGAAATCAAATTCTGACTTTTGGGTAAAAATATAAAACGTGTCACAAATGTGGACCGTCTCAGTCATTTTGCGATAACAAAGCAGATGGTGCTGGTGAGGGCAGTGAACTGGGAGAGAAAAACAGAAAACTGAATGATGTTAAATTTACTGTGGTTTGCAAGATTCGGTTTTAGTCCAGGAATCGGAAGTGACTGGGATAACACTCCGTACACACTCAGACATTTTGCTAGCATTGATGGATGCTTGTTTTCTTACCGTTTCTGGACTGCGAATTTCAATCAACTTTGCCGTATATGCTGATAAATGCCAAATGAACGTCCACCGAATAGATTGGTCATATTGAATGGGCAATGACCAAAGCAGAAAATTTACCATTCGATCCCTACAGCTCTGGCTGCCGTCAATAATATTCTTTAATCCAAATGAATGTTTATCTTGTTATCTTATCATTATGGCTGGCACCACCGGTGAAATTAAATTAATAGAGTATTTTCACATAGACAACTTTTCTTTATTATTAATCAATATTAGGGTGATATACATTCAGCACTCCAATGTTCCCCCTGCATCTGAAAACTCCAGTGAAATCAGAAGCAGTTATAGGTGGAATTTTCAGTGATTTGCCTCAGGGCACATTTACTTTAGATCGTTTCAGTATATAAAATAAGCTAGCTGATGAACGACTCACAAAACATTTTGATTTCACAGAACAGCATGTTTCCTTTGAGCAAAAACTATCGCTATATGATGAACAATATTTATGAGACTTTCAAGTGCCAACAGAATATAAAACAGAAGAGACAATATCACGCCAGCATCAGTTCTCGCTCTACGGCCGGTGCCCGTTCATTTGAAAAATTTGAGCTCAAGGATAAGGACACCATCATAGGCACTTACACAACGCTTTTACGCCAATTTTCCTCAGTGGTTTTATTCATGATGATAAACCAAACTGTAAAACATTACTATGTATTTTTGTAAACCACAGTCCATCCCTATGACATAATGCTACTACAATGAGCTTGTTTTAAAACAATTCTTCAAGCTCTGTGCTTCCCTTCGCAATCAAACAAGTTCAGATAATCGGAAGGTTCTCAAGTGTCTGATTTCTCAGAACAACGTACCAAATAACGAAAACAACTAAAAGGGAACATGAAGTATAAATCGCTGTTTCGGTTTTGCAAAATGTCTGTAACACTCATTCTCCATAGATGAAAGCAGATGGTTTTGCGCGTATTTATATCACATCAGATTCTGTTTTTACGGAAAATAGATTTCGAATGAAGTAATTAGCTAGTTCAATGAAAGTTAAGCCTGCACCAAATTGATTACCTAGCAACCACAAATGGTATGTCGGAAATTTGCTTTCTAAACAGTGGAACCGTCCCATTTTATCACCAATCCCGAAATATGTATCACAGTGACGTTGAGTTTCCGCTTCAACCCACCACCCGCATAGGTCCGATTGTTCGCAACTGATTGAGTGACACTGAGCCACTGTGCCTAGGTGTTAGCAAAATGTCTGTGAATTGAGGGAGTGTTTACCCGCAGGGTCAGAAAAATACAATAAAAGACTTTTACCTAACGACTATATGGCGTTTTAACCTCAGATATAACACTGAACCGAACCTGATTATATTGTTTAGTCAGGTTTCCAGCACTATCTAAACTCAGCAGCACGAAAGTGCGATATTTTCGAATTCCGCTGTCCGAATACCAAAGGATAGATTACAAAATACTTAAGATTCATCTATTCATGTTAGTTGACATTTCCAAACAGCGTTCTTATTTCTAATAGTATTTAATGGTTAGTTTGGTTTATTTGATGAAGGCTACCCAAAAGGATGTGAATCTAGTAAAATGTTCTCTTTACCAAGCGGCTGAAAGAACGCAGAAGTAGATACTCTCGTGATAGCGAGAGAATATTGCATGCACTGAATTCCCTACAAATGAACTTGGACTAGAAAACGTGCGTGCCAACCTGTTAAGTGCATGCCTGCTGTCTAAAACAAACAGATGAATTGTATTCGAATATTTTTAATTGAAGAAATCCGCTGTTGCACTAACCAGTTTTGTCAGTTGGCACCTGTGCAGGATGAGATGCTTCAATTAAATACGTTATCATGGCATGCATATAACTTTCAGTCCTTTGTCTCTTTTCAGAATAACTTCATTACACTAATTCTGAAAACGTTTCTGCTTTTTCGGAATACCTGAACTACTTTATGTTCAATGACCATACGTTAGATTTGTTGTCAGAGATACTCACAACTAAATGAAAATTACTTGAGCATCTTGTATAAGTAACATGTATTGTGTTTTTCCTTCGTCACGTTGCAGGCTAAAATGCAATCATGCAATTAGTATAAAATAATTGATGAATATCCTGCTCTCCATGTGACATCTTTGAGTTAATAAATATGGAATGAATATTCAAATTGAGGAAGAAACCATACCAAAGATCAATGTGCTCAGTAGCGTCCATGGCACATTTAACCCGTATTGCTTAGAAAGAAAAGCAATGAGACTACTTTATTTGTGCATCATCAAGCAGCATTAAAATATCAGTAGAATTCATAATAAAACAATAACTTGCCGTAATGTTTAAAGGTTTCTTTTTATGGCTCNGGTTGGCGGACAGAAATGCTGCATAGTGGGCTTTTGAATGCGAATAATGGGTTGAGTTTTTCATATATTTATTGAGCTAGAGAATAGTTTGAACCATTTAAAAATGAAACAAAGAAGGAGACTGCTATTATGTCCACAAATTCATCTATTGCCTTATCACACTTTCTACAATATGTTTTTCCTTTCCATTCAACCATTTGTATCACTGACCAAAACTTGTATGCAAGTCTCAGGTTCGCATGTACCACAAAAGGAATGACTTTGTCCGATAGGTCCAAATGGGCTTAATGATTGGCTGTTCATGTACCGACATACATTGAATGCATCACGCAGGATTTGACTGTTACGTCCCTCTCGTTTTTGGTCATTTCAATAGTTTATTTCATATGTAATTTACTCTGATTGGGGAGGTCAGTTGCATCGTAATCTTAGCTAGGTGTAATAAACTCAAACGGAATATAAACGATTAAAAAAATTGACTGAATTGTTGTGGCCCAGAGAATGAAATCCATGGAAACGACACGGAAGAGTAGAAAGAGAAAACAAATTTCAGAGGATGCAACGCTTTTTATCTCTTGTAGTGCTTCAAACAGAATAAATCACTCAAGCCAGAGTGATGACTTGAGGCCAATAAAAATGTCAGCACATCCAAAGGTGACCAGAATGCGTGGCCCGAGCAGGCTTTCAACGTGTGCATCGATCGTTATCGATTCAATTTCAGATGAATTAGTTTGGGATGTTCATTGAGTTACGAGTTGGATTAGTGTCCCGACGCTACCGGTAATCATTGTTCAGCGAGAAGTAGCCACAAGGCAGATCAATGAAGCAAACAAATGCTTGTCCAAAGTATTTCTGTCTTAATTATTTTGTACCAAAATATGTACGTGTCCTTTTCTGAAATTGCGTTTGGATTTAGTAAAAGCAATCATTCTTGAACAACTGAGAGTAAATATATCAAGTCGCTAATTTGCTGACTTACTCTTTGATCTCTCGGCATTCATTAAAGAAACCAATATGAGCTCATTGCGCATAACGTTTAGTTTGGATTAAGCGTTTGCGCAACCGTGTGAACTGACCTGTGGTTTTCCTTACTCTACTAAAAAAATGCTGTATGATTGTGTCATTGAGTTATTCACTCTAATACTGGACATTCAGCGGGCAAAATAATGATGCCAGCATTCATATAAATGTTTCAGTGAGATTACGAATAGAGGGAATTTTTGATCTCCTTTTATCGAGGTCCATGTTATAATAACAAAGATTGCCCCAGAAACGATATTTGTACACATCGCGGAAGCCAAACGGTCTTATGTGTAATATTGTTCGGCACCAACTATCGTGTTGTGTGCGAACAGGCTCGGTTTCAGAGGTTTGTATTCGTGCCAATACATCATAGTATCACCACATGGAATAGAATTGTCTTCGGAAAATAAAATCACATCAGATGATACTAGAAACGATTTCACTATGAGACCGGAAATGGAATTCGCCACGATCACCTGTTTGTTTGCCACTCATCCTATCGCCACGATTGCTCGTGATACGATACGTGTGTGTAAGGCAGCAAAGCTTTAGCGCTCGCACGATTTTTTCTGGGCCCACAGAATGGGGTATGTACAGATGAATGTCCAACGATCCTGCTATGGTCAGCATCCGACAGCAAACCTGTCTCAATAATCGCCCACGAACTATATACAAGGGACGGGAAGCCTCGAACGCGTTCATGGTGTTCAGCCATGCAGGGTGGTTTTCACGAATCCATTCGGATAATTGCCTGACCGTGCGGCCTATTGTGCACGTTGTTACACAGGAACAAGTAAATGTGTATACATGGAATGAGACTACAGAGTCTTGAACTTCATCTTTCACTCGCAAACACACAATTGGTTTGGACGTGAATAACACACGAAGCTTGAATGGATAGAAAATTTTAGCGATTGCGTCAGATAACCGTCAGTTGCTTTCCTCTTTGAACGGCAAAGAAGTTTACACGGATTTTTCCTTAACCTCGGTGTTTTATAAAAGGTTCTGCCAGCACTGAATTATCTTGTTTACCAAACGTTCGGATTCTTGTTACGTCCAAAGATGGATTTTAAAGTACGCAGTTCTTCTTGCGTGTCATCAATGCAGAACGTTCTTGCCATTTCCTCTGGGCAACGAACCAGGTTCCCTTTTACCTTAAGTTGTCTTTCTATGGACAGACCACTACGATGAATCATATGATCGACGGGTGATGCAAACATCTAGAAACGGCCGTTTGTTGTTGCACTCAATTTCT